AAACGACAGGAGCCTCGACGCGAGGCCGTTCATGAGCATCCCGAATACCATCCAGCCGAAGTTTGCCTAGAGAGGCAGCATCACGCCCAGAAAACCCTAGCATCTCGGAAACCTCTGTCGCATTGCAGGCGTCAGCCCGCGCCTCTCAACGCGGGGAAGACAACGACAGGGTAGAGGGCAAAGCTGGGGACGCTGGTGCAGTCCGAGCGTGCTCGAACGAGGCCGCCGCGAACGAGAAGCAGTCAAGGAAGAGAACCACAGAGAATCGCCGCGCCCGCAAACAGGAAAGAAGCGGCACGCAGGTCGCGTAGCAATGCGAGGGCCTACGTCCAGCAGATTGGGGCAGAAGTAGTCCCGAGTATGCGCTAGGCGTCGCTGGGGCACTGCTTCAGAAACTCCGGAGAGAGCGACCAGAGGACCAGGGAGATCGACGCCCGCGGGACCAGAGCAAGCAGCCGAGTGATTCGGAAACATGCCGTCATGTAGTTGGATCTTGCCTCGGCTAGCCTCCAGCGAAAGGTAAGGTGGTCCAGCTCGTAATAGGGGGCGTAGTCTGGAACAGCACCGCCGAACACATCAGCCCCATCGGCCCAATCGCCAATGTGGTACTCGAACTCTGGGGCAGTACGCGGAGACATCCGCCAGGGCACCACCGTCGTCTCGAGGCACACCTCCAGCGGTGTGGGGATACCCTTCAGTAGCATGGGATACACCAGCAGCGTCGTCAGGAGCATCTGGCATCTCCATCAACGTGCGCGTGGTCATCCACGTGCCGAGCTCCCACGGCGTCAGTATGAGCAGGCAGGACAGCATCAGGGACAGAACCAGGACCAGCATGCAGGTCTCCACCAGGTTGCGCGAGCGTCATCGCGACAGGCTCGTTGAAGTCGCAGGAAGCGTGCCAGGCAGCCGAAAGATGATCAATGTGTACCCAAGAGAATAATGGCCAGCTCCAGCTGGGAGATGCGAATGCCTAGCAATGGGTACTGATCCAAGTTCGGGGCGGGCAGTTCCAGGGGTCGCGCCTGGACGAGTCACCAACGACTGGCCGAGCGCCCGCTGCAGGATGAGAGAAATGATCATCGGAGTCGTCGTCGGCATCAGTCCAGCAGCTGAGGCGTTCCACAGGAAGTGCCTGCACCCTACCAGGCGCAGCAGCGGCGGAAACCCACCGATTGTGCTGGGCAGTGCTCCCCGAAATGCTGCATATCTTGAACTCGTGCGCCTCTAGCTCAGAATTGTGGCCGCGCGTGCACGCGGCCTCGCAAAAAAAGAGCCGCTGCGCTTGTGGATCCCCGTATTGATCTTCAGCTCCCGTATGTTGTCCGTGGGCCGAGCAAGAATCTTAGCTTCGTGGGGCACTTTCTCCGGCACTGCAGTTTGTGCAAGGCCAGACCTCACACGGGGGCGTAGAAACCATCTTTTAACGGCGCGTAGTCGCCGAGCTTCGACGCGTGCAATGGACCTGCGCCCGCGAGGGCGGAGGAGGTCCGTCACGTTCATCAGTGGAGAAAAACAGGAAATCGACGAATTAGCAGTGGGAGCAAGCAGACTGCCAGCACCAGAGCGAGTGAACATCAACGCGCCTGCAGCCCAAGAGGACACAAAAGAAGCAGAAGTGCACCAGCACGCCTCCGCGCACAAAGTCGCAGCCCGTTCCCAGAGCTGCGCGCGCGGGAATGGCGAGGGAGGAAGTTCATCACAGGGGTGCACGGCGTGCAGAATGTCTGGCAGGTTGTTGTTCTCGTCTGAAGAACTCTCACTGGGGTAACCCGAAGAGCCCGTAGATTCCGAAAAAACATCCAAGACGGCCTGGACGGCTTCTCCAACAGCCAAGAGGGTCTCCAAGATGGCCTCCAAGATGCCTGCGAGACGACCAAGATGGCCCCAAGAGAGCCCAAGATAGCCCCAAGATGGCCTCCAAGATGGCCAAGATGGCCCCTAGGCAGCCTCCAAGATGGCCTTCAATACAATCAAGATGGCCCCAGGAGCCCAAGATAGCACCAAGATGGCCTCCAAGACAATCAAGATGGTCCCAGGAGAGCCTAAGATAGCCCCAAGATGGCTTCCGAGACGGCCAAGATGGCCCCACGGCCAAGATGGCCCCAAGAGTCTTAAGATAGCCCCAAGATGGCCTCCAAGATGGTCCCAAGATGCCCCGAAGACCGCCAAGATGGTCCCAGAGAGCACCAGACGGCCCAAGACTACTCAAAATGCGCCCAAGAGGCCCCTGAGACGACCCAAGAGGCCTCCAAGAGGTCCTCCAGGAAAGCCCGAAGAGTCCAAAATTCGGAATGCGCAGTCGGCTGTGAAGGATTTTAGCATTTGCTTCAAAACGGCTTCCGGCAGCCAAAGACTGCCCAAGAGGCCTCCAAAATCAACAATCCCTCAGCAACCTAAAAACCATCAATGATTTGGGCATCTTCGGGCCTTCCTGGAGGACCTCTTCGAGACCCCTACGACGGCCCGAGAGGCCTCCAAGAGGCCCTCCAAGAAGGCCCGAGGAGACCAAAAATCCGCCGACCCTGTCGGCGTGTGTGAGGGGCTTTTCCGTTCGAGCCGTCATCTCCGTCATTCTTTGTACTCGTCGTCTCTGTCCTTCCCTTTCCCTGGGAGACCTCTTCCCCTGGGCTCCAGCCAAGCCGACCTTGAGCAACCTCGTAATTGAGTCGAAGGGAAGCCCCTTCCCTTTGATCCCTCCCCCGCCGGGAGGGGGGGGGGGGTGTCGACCCCCCCCCCGGGTCAGATACGACGCCCCCCCCTGGGACTCCTCTTCCCCTGGGCTCCAGCCAAGCCGACCTTGAGCAACCCCTGGGCTCCAGCCAAGCCGACCTTGAGCAACCTCGTAATTGAGTCGAAGGGAAGCCCCTTCCCTTTGATCCCTCCCCCGCCGGGAGGGGGGGGGGGGGTGTCGACCCCCCCCCCGGGTCAGATACGACGCCCCCCCCTGGGACTCCTCTTCCCCTGGGCTCCAGCCAAGCCGACCTTGAGCAACCTCGTAATTGAGTCGAAGGGAAGCCCCTTCCCTTTGATCCCTCCCCCGCCGGGAGGGGGGGGGGGGGTGTCGACCCCCCCCCGGGTCAGATACGACGCCCCCCCCTGGGACTCCTCTTCCCCTGGGCTCCAGCCAAGCCGACCTTGAGCAACCTCGTAATTGAGTCGAAGGGAAGCCCCTTCCCTTTGATCCCTCCCCCGCCGGGAGGGGGGGGGGGGTGTCGACCCCCCCCCCGGGTCAGATACGACGCCCCCCCCTGGGACTCCTCTTCCCCTGGGCTCCAGCCAAGCCGACCTTGAGCAACCTCGTAATTGAGTCGAAGGGAAGCCCCTTCCCTTTGATCCCTCCCCCGCCGGGAGGGGGGGGGGGGTCGACCCCCCCCCCGGGTCAGATACGACGCCCCCCCCTGGGACTCCTCTTCCCCTGGGCTCCAGCCAAGCCGACCTTGAGCAACCTCGTAATTGAGTCGAAGGGAAGCCCCTTCCCTTTGATCCCTCCCCCGCCGGGAGGGGGGGGGGGGTCGACCCCCCCCCCGGGTCAGCTCTTCCCCTGGGCTCCAGCCAAGCCGACCTTGAGCAACCTCGTAATTGAGTCGAAGGGAAGCCCCTTCCCTTTGATCCCTCCCCCGCCGGGAGGGGGGGGGGGGTGTCGACCCCCCCCCGGGTCAGATACGACGCCCCCCCCTGGGACTCCTCTTCCCCTGGGCTCCAGCCAAGCCGACCTTGAGCAACCTCGTAATTGAGTCGAAGGGAAGCCCCTTCCCTTTGATCCCTCCCCCGCCGGGAGGGGGGGGGGGGTGTCGACCCCCCCCCCGGGTCAGATACGACGCCCCCCCCTGGGACTCCTCTTCCCCTGGGCTCCAGCCAAGCCGACCTTGAGCAACCTCGTAATTGAGTCGAAGGGAAGCCCCTTCCCTTTGATCCCTCCCCCGCCGGGAGGGGGGGGGGGGTAGCGACCCCCCCCCCGGGTCAGATACGACGCCCCCCCCTGGGACTCCTCCTCCCCTGGGCTCCAGCCAAGCCGACCTTGAGCAACCTCGTAATCTCTTGCTGCGCATTGCGAACAGGGTCGGCGGCACCGGCCGTCAGGCCTTCGCAATCAGTGATTGTCATCGGTGTTTGAATGATTTTGGCATTCGCTTCAAAACGGCTTTCTGACAGCCCACGACGGCCCAGGAGGCCCCAAACATTGCCCAAAAATCGCCCAAGATGCCATTAGATCTGGATCCGCGGTTGCCATCCCCCTCACACTTCTCCGAGCTTATTTCGAACTAATGGATCGCACGCGAATCGCGCTTTCCGTCATCTGGGCACCTGCAAAAACATATACACACACACAAGTTGTTCCCCCCGCCCTGGGTCCAAGAGCCTCATCGGTCGACCAATGGCTCCGGCCGTGATTGTTCACGACGTCGTGATCTTTTACGACGTCTGCTCTTAGGATCCCTGGACGATCTAAAAGCTTGCCCGAGCGTGAAACGATAACGATGCGAGGTCAGACACGAGCCTTCTCGAGCACCGAGGCTCACTGTCAAGGGAACGCCACCCCTCTCGTTCTCCTCTGGTACACACTCCCAGACCCCGTGACCTATCGCGCCGACGATCGTGAGAACGACGCTCCGCAGCTGAAACAGCAGAAACGCGAGGACGAACAGGAGGGAGCCCCCAGCGAAGAAGACGTCATGCAGCAACACGTTGAAGATCTCGTACGAATCCAAGAACCTGAGTGGGGCTCCGTTAGGGGTGGTACCAGCTCGGGAGGAGGAACATGGAGCTTAAATCGGCCAGACATCGCCGATAGGTCGGCGATAGGTTGCCGATAGCCGAACCGCACGTTCTTCGGCGAGGTGGGCTATCAGGCATCCAGCGGCGATCAATGGCCGATTCGTGGTCGATGCATCCCCCCGGAGCCTTTCACCCCCAAGCGCTGCCCCTGAACCTTTCCTCCTGCCAGGAGACCGTCACGTACTTCATCTCGTCGTTGGCCTTGGAGAGGAAGTCGTCGCTCAGCGAGTGCAGGAACTCCTGGCCGATTCAGGAACCCTGGGGCGCCCTAATGTTGACTTCTCCTGGGGACCGACTTTGTTGCAGGGGTCACACCCAATGAACATCCGGAACAGGACGCCTACTGCGGGGGTGATGCAGGCTACCATGAGGATGGCGCTGGTATATATAGAGACGCAGACCAGAAGCCCGACCCGACGAGGAGCGAGCCCTGGCCGCAGCTTGGGCCCCGACTCAAGAACGCCTGGATCTTCCGCCAACACGCCCCGTCAAGACGCAACTACAGGAAACCACAGCCGTCCGTCCTGGCCCCAGCTGGCGCGACCAGGGAAGAGTTGAACCGCTGAATCTGGCACGGAGGAGGTCGAGTGAAACGACCACGCCAAGCCACCAAGAAGAGCGGACTGGTCAGGCTGCACAGGGCGAGCCCATGCACGGACCCGTCTCTTTTAACACTCTTCAGCGGCGTTGTGGTATGACCGCTACTGGCCGCGACGACCACATGTACAACTCTTACACAGCAAGGGAGTGGCGGGGAGGGGGAATTATCCTGGCGAAGGACCCAACCACATGCAGTTTTGGGTACCGCACCGCAAGTGTGAATATCTTCTTCGGTGAAGCTCCATATGGGGCCACGAAGCGCTGCACTGGGTGGGGGGGAACACATGCGGGCGGTAGCACTGGGGCCGTCGGTGGAGCTTCCTTTGGGGCCAGGAAACGCTGTACTGGGGGGGGGGACGCATGCGGGGCCACGAAGCGCTGCACTGGGTGTGGGGGGGGCGCATGCGGGCGGTAGCACCGGGACCTTCGGTGGAGCTCCCTACGGTAGCGCTGGGGCCGTCGGTGGAGCTCCGTATGGGGCCACGAAACGCTGTACTGGGGGGGGGACGCATGGCGGCGGTAGCATTAGGTCCGTCGGTGGAGCTTCCTATGGGGCCACGAAGCGCTGCACTGGGTGGGGGGGACGCATGTGGGTGGTAGCGCTGGGACCTTCAGTGGAGCTCCCTATGGGGCCACGAAACGCTGGGTTGGGGGGACGCATGCGGGCGGTAGCACTGCGGCCGTCGTTGGAGCTCCCTATGGGGCCACGCAGCGCTGTACTGGGTGGAAGGACGCATGCGGGCGGTAGCAGTGGGGCCGTCGGTGGAGCTCCCTATGGGGCCACAAAACGCTGTGCTGGGTGGGTGGGACGCATGCGGGCGGTAGACCTGGAACCTTCGGTGGAGCATCGGGCGACGAAACGTTGTACTGGGTGTACGGTTTTGGGACCCTGGAGGCCCCAGCCGCCCGAGGCGCCCCCGGAGAACGACCCCGAGTCCCAAAACCGTGCGGTGACCCCGAATCCCCACTGGCTCACCGCGCGGTCTGGTCACCGCACCGTTTGCTGGCAGCGAGCGCGGGGGAAGTGAGGAAGGGCAGGCTTTCTCAGAAGGCTCGGAAGTCTCCGATGGTCTTCTGAGAGGTTTCCCAAGCCTTCCCCAAAGACACAGACCGCCGCCTTCTGAGCAGGACTCCTCCTTCTAACTTCCCCCCTCGCTCGCCGCCGAGTTTGCCCCCCCTGAGAGGAGGGGGCCCCATCTCCTGGGTCTCCGCCCTCATCTCGTCCGTCAGCTTGGCGGTGGCCGAGGCCGCGCCGAGCGGGGCTCCGCCCCGGAACTGGGAGCGCGTGGCCATCCCGGACGCCGACGAGCCGTCGAAGCCGGCGTCCCACCACCAGGACACCCCCGCCTGAGATCTGCACGCACGAAATAGGTACTGAAAGAATGGGTACAATGCCCAACAGCGGATCTTCTTCAGTTTGAACAGGGCTCGCTGTCCACGCCGCCGCGGCCTGTGTCCATTCGAGACAGGAGGCAGCCTTGCCCAACAGCGGCCGCTGTTGGTTTGGGACAACATTTGCTGTTGGGCATAGTACCCATTTTTTCGGTACCCATTTCGGGCGTCCAAATGAAAGGCGCACGGCCCACGGAGGGGGGGTCCGACGCTAACCGACGCTAACTGACGCTAAATCGGCGTTCTCTCATCGACCCCCAGACGCTACACGACGCTAACCGACGCTAAAGACGGAATTGAAAGGGTACACCAGGCTCCCATGACTTGCTACCGAACGACAGGGGGGGGGGGCCGTCGGGGACCTTTTCGGCACAACCAAGGCAAGTCGGCGAGAACGTGGGGAGGAGGAAAACGAGACGACGACGACGACGAGGACGACGCCCGCCTGAGAAGCGCACGGCCCACGGAGGGGGGGGTCCGACAGGGGGGGGGGGGGCCAGACTGGCGCGGGGCCGTCGGGGGCCTTTTCGGCAAGCTCGCGGGGGGGGGGGTCGACGTCCCCGCGGGAGGCCACGGGCGGGCCCTGCCGCCAGAGAGAAGGCAAGAGAGAGGATGTTGAACACTGCCAGTTTGGGCCCGTTGGGTCGCAGCAGACACGACCGAGGAGGGAGGAGGGAGGAGGGAGGAGGGAGGAGGGAGTAGGGAGGAGGGAGGAGGGAGGTTCTTCGAATGAGTTCAAAACGCGCTTTGGGGGCACGTGTAGAACGTTCATGAATCGAGCTCTTGAACTATTCTTGGTAAGAAGGGGCAGATCGCGATTGCCTGAATTCCTTCAAATAGCGTTCTTTGGGTGTTCAACCACCAGCACACGTCCGCTCGAGGAAGAGGAGGATGATCGAGATTCGAGATTCGAATCTCGAGATTCGAAGATCGAGATTCGAGGATCGGGGTTTGGAGCCGTGTTCAAAACAGTTTGGAACCCTCGTGGCCATGGCTGGATTCCCCTCGAAATTCGAGCCAGCACAGCACAGGTCCAGGAGTCAGCTCTTGAGAAGGAGCGCAAGTAGCTGAGCGCCAAACGTTGGCGCAACTACATGTTGATGACAGCCTGCGCTGCTCTCAGTAGGCTGACGTGCATGCAGAGGATGTGTGAGGATGGGAAGCAGCATGCCGCATCTTGTTGTAAAAGTGAAAGCACAGCACCATGTACGCATGGGCATCATCGCGCTGAAAGTGCATGGCATACAGATGGGGGAGCGCAAACCCAAGACGAATCAGAATCAAAGGATCCGAAGGGAAAAGGGGATCGAGCAAGGGACATAAAACAGTGGAGGCGAGGGCAGGAGAGATAGTGAAGGAAAGCGTCGGGTCCCTCCGAGCAGCCGAAAAGACATGACCTGGGATGTTCCAAATTAACCCTGTACGTGGGAGGAAGAGGATGAGAAGTAGGAGGAGGAAGAGAGAGGGGTGGAGCTCTTTGTGTGTGTTACATGTTTGGCGCTTGTGGGCCTCCATAAGCCCTCAGGGGGCTCCAGAGGCTCCCCGGGACCTCTTGAGACCTCCAGAGACAGAGCCTTCAGAATCATCTGGAGGACGTCGAGGAGGGAGGATAGAGGCGGGGGGGGCAGAAAGCAAGGCGCCCTGAGGAAAGCTTATCCGGTCCATGCTTCAGGGGGTCTGCAGGGTTCTGGAGGTCTTCGGGGATCCAGGACACGCGCGTCCAGGAGGAGGAGGAGGAGGACGACGACGACGACGAAGACAGGACACGCGCGTCCAGGAGGAGGAGGAGGAGGAGGAGGAGGATCCAGGACACGCGCGTCCAGGAGGAGGAGGAGGACGACGACGACGAAGACATCGACGAGGACAGAGACGAGGGGGGGAGGGACCCTGGCCTCCGACGTCGTGCTTCGTCTGAACTGCATAGGCTCTGGGGATGTCGGCCCCATCCCCCAGAGGCCCAGCTGCTCGCAACGCGCCGTTTTCTGCACATCCTGGGGCCCGAGCACGAAGCGGGGCGCCGAAACCCGGGAAACAGCACACGCCCCGGTTTGTTTTTTTCGGTTGGGGTCCAGAGGTATCCGACGGTCCTTCGAGGTCTGCAGAGGCCTGACACTTGCATATGAGATGCACAAACCTTGGTGTCGTCCTTCTCCTCCTCCTCCTCCTCCTCCTCCTCCTCATCATCATCATCATCATCGGCAGCATCAGTATCAGCCGCGTGATCATCATCAGCATCATCATACTCATCATCGTCATCGTCATCGTCGTCGTCACCATCAACATCATCGCCATCGTCAGCATCATCGTCATTATCATTATTATCAGCAACAGCACCGTCGTCATCATCAGCATCAGCATCGTCATCATTAGCATCAGCATCACCACCATCACCATTAACAGCATCACTGTCATCATCACCATCATCATCATCATCATCATCATCATCATCATCATCATCATCATCATCGCCATCACCATAATCGTAACCATCATCAGTGACATCACTATGGTGATCAGCATCATGATCATCATCATCATCATCAGCATTAGCATCAGCATCATCATCAGCATCAGCATCAGCATCATCAGCATCATCAAATGCCTCATCATCAGCAGCACCATTATCGTCCTCGTCCTCGTCCTCGTCTTCATCCTCATCCTCATCATCCTCCTCTTCATCAGCAGCATCATCATCATTGTCGTCGTCGTCATCGTCATCGCCACTGTTTTGGTCCACGTCCTCGTCCTCGTCGGCATCGTCATCGTCGCGGTCATCGTCATCACCATCATCATCCTTCACATCCGTACCATCATCCAGGAGAAGATGGACAGCAGCATGGGGGACGCCTGCCTGGTTCAGTGCAGCCACGGCGTCTGCGACACTGGCGGAAGAAAGGCACTCCCCCTGGCCGTCGTAGGCCACCTCGCGACGGGATGAGTTGAGGAGCAGGAGAAGGAGGAGGAGGACAAGAGTAAACCCGTAATGCATTAACGATGCTGCAGTACACCCTCCCGTCTTACAAGTCCCTGCAAGCTTTCCTTCTCACTACAAGAAGCGCCCCCCTGAGAGACCTGCACCCTACAGACCTGCCAATCAAGTTTTAAACCCGTTTCGAAGTGGAACTACATTGCACCTTTCTGCCGAACAGTAATACGGAAGCCGAGCAGGTATGACGGCGCGATTCGAAGAGATGTCCAGCGAGATCACCGTTTCGAAGGAGGACCGCCCGAATATGTGCAACTCTTGCATCATGCGCTTCGAGAAACGAGTCCCAATTTGAACAAATCGCACTCCACCCATGAAACTGTTACATGTGTTGTGCTTCTGGCCTCTATACCAAAAGAAATCAAAAGCGAAAGCCCCAAGTTGGAAAAGGAACCGTCCTCCACCCCTGTAACTGATGCACGCGTTTGAAACGCACGTGCGCGGACATGAGACAGAAGCCCAAATTGTGAATCTCGAAATTGAACCGCCCTCCATCCTTGACAGTGTTGTAAGCTTATACGACGGCTGTGAGTGTCGCCAAGGCGAGAGGCCCATTTTGACAATCCCTCCATCCATGAAACTGCTGCAGTATGTTCAAGTACGTGTGCGCGGCGCTGAGGCGAACGCCCACTTGTGTAAACGACCACCTCAACATCCTTGTAACTGCTGCGACGTTCAAGCCGCATGGTACTGAGTGGTGAGGGCGATTCAAGCGGAACGCCCAGCCTGCCGTACCGACGTTGCTGGATAGCTCCTTGGAGAACGAAGAGGACTTCAGATTAGAAGCCGGCAGGCAGGGCTACGCCAGCTCCTCTCCAAGGCTCCCGGTCAGGCATCCCCGCAGCGCCTTGCTTGAACCCGCAGCGTGTCCCGAGAAGCGTTTTCCTACTCGTTCCCAATACGGGTGCCCCGAAGCTCTCCAAAAGGTCCTTCGAAGCTCCTTCGAAGCTCTTTGGAAGCTCGCTAGTCCTGGCAAGCGTCTCCAACAAGGTTTTCTAAGCTTGCAACTTCGCCAAGGAAGCGTTTTGTGGTTCTGGACTGCGCCGCTATCCGGGTTTGGGACGCCACAAGTGTCACGGGTGCGACATGGAGGAGGTATATATATATATATGTACGGAAAACGAATTAAGGAGGATGAGGAGGAGGCAAGGGGTGGAAGGAAAAGGCAAGAAGGGGAGTAGGAGGAGGAGGTATTGTTGTTGCACGTGTTTGGCCCGTCTCGGGCATCCCAAATCACGTGTCAAGGCCTTCCGGGCCTCGAGAGGATTCCGCGGACCTCCGAAGCCTCCAGGGACCACCTCGGAGACCCCTGGAGGCTTCGGAGACCTCCAGAGGAAGAGCACAAGGGGGAAGAGGAGGAGTAAGAAGAACATGAGTATGTCAGAGTAGCAGAATGAGGAGGAATAGAGGAGGGGGAAGAGGAGGAGGAGGAGGATGAGGAGGGGGAGGAGGAGGAGGAGGAGGGGAGGAGGAGGAGGGCGACGACGACGACGACGATGACGACGACGAAACGGAGCCTCGATGGTGGAGTCGAAGTCCGAGCCATTGACTCTCTGCACGCTGGGATTGAAGATCGACGCGACGGAATTGGGGATCGAGCACTCCATGGTCTCCTCGTCCTCCCCCCTCCTCCTCCTCCTCCTTCTCCTCCTCCTCCTCGTCCTCCTCCTCCTCCCTCCTCCTCCTCCTCATCCTCTCTCTCCTCTCCTCCTCCTCCTCTCCTCCTCCTCCTCCTCCTGCCTGGCGAGATTTGGTCCATGCTTTGAAAGCCTAAGCACTACAGTCGACCTCGCCCGTCCCCTTCGGCCTCGGTGCCAAAAGCGATCCCCCCGATGTGGAGCACATCCCGGCTGGCTTGGGGAGTCTCGCCACGTGCTGGCGGGTGTGTGGGAGGTTTCCGACGTGTGCGGGGTTCTCGATTGGCTGGCAGACCCCCAAGCCAGACGGAGGCACGCGTTTCTTGCATGGCCTCTGCTCCGTTTTCAGGGCGATTTCTCGAGGCATCTACCGCTCGGTTCCCCACGGGGCACCAGACAAGTTTGACCATGGTTGCATTGCATACCCCATCGCAGGAAAGAGAGAGAGAGAGAACGTCATTCTCGGAGTGCATGTGTTGTCCGAGCGTCTGCGCGCGGCTCGCGTGTGGCACGTGGCGGTCTTTGACGACATGGAAAAACGCGTTTGGGTGTTGTACGCACAGCCGCATGGATCAGGGGCTGCACGAGTATCTTCCTTCGGTGGATGCCGATCTGCTGGCCGACAGGCGCACCACCCACATTCTGCACATAGACGGAATTGATAAGCACACCACTCTGCACCTCCAAAGCGGGGCCCTCATGCGGGATCCTAAGCCCCTGTCGAGTTTCGGGCGAACTTTGCTCGGCCGTTACAGAAGTGGCTGGAGGAGAGCAAGGACCGCATGCTTGTTGCTTCAGTGTTCGCATTTTGATGTCAGTGTGTACGGGGGGCCTCTTCACATACGTGGATGACCTGGCTTATTTGTTGCCCCTGACTTCTGGGACCCTGGAGGAAGCCGTTGCGTGCACCCAGGCCTCGCAGGCCTCCCTCGGTGCCCAGCTCGAAGCTTTTGGCTGCCGTCAGAGCACTAAAAGGCAGGTATTGGCCCCATGCCTCTGCGGGTATCATGCCAATGGCAAGTGTTATTCGGCCGAGGTGGGCGGCGCCAGAGTCGCCCCACACACGCGCTATCTCGGCCCTCATTGTTTGCCGTCGGGAGCGTTCTCGCATCAGATGCACTTGAGTAAACAAGCGGCCAACAGAGGATGGCTTGCCTTTAAATACCTTTGGCCCTCGTTGGCCCCCTTTAAGGTGAAGAGATAGTATTCATGTCCGCCGTGCAGGGTGCGCTACTGTCGGGCCTCACCCCGTATCTCCTCACGGATGCCCAGGAGGTCCAACTTGACCATGCGCTGCTAGGTAAAATTCGGTGTATAGCGGCGGGGGCTATGTGTGATCAGTCAGGGGCCCACCCTCAGTCGTACGACACTCGTAGAGTCTGGCTGTGGATGAACCTCGTTCGGACCCACGTCGAGCTTCTCATCAAGAGGCTTAGGTGGTACCAGTCGATTGTGCGCTGGCCAGAAGACCACCAGCAGGTCATCGCCCTTCTGTTCGGTAAGTTCGGCTTCGAGGACCACCCCACGGTCTCGGAGGGCCGCTTGACCCCGCACGCCAACGCTTTCGCTATTCGCTTTGCCTCGAACGCATACCAGCTTAAGTTGCTCACAGATTTTGAGGACTGGCAGCAGGTTTGGGGAGAAAACTTGCGCGACCTTTTCCACGACGATTACACCAAGCATTTGTTTCTCTCGGCGGATGCGCCTGCCATTCGGACGATTCGGCGGTCTGGTAGCACTGAACTTGACACGATCGATTTCGGGCACCCCCTGGAGGCTTTCAAGAAAAAACAGAACTTATCTGTCTCGGATTTCTTGGGTCCTGATGGCTGTGTCTTTGTGTGCGGTCACACTACCGACGACTGCAACGTTTGCGGTGCTAAGTTCCTCTCGCACGCCGCGCTCATCGCGCACAAGACGCACACCCGTGGGGGATCACACGGGGACTTCTCGTACTATGCAAGGTGTGTGGTTACCAACGAGCGCCCTGCTTGTCGATCGTCGTTCGCTTTCCAGGAGACTGCCAAGGCCCATCTTTGCCGTGCGTTTCGTCGGGGCTTCTGTGCTACGGAGTCGGCCCACGCTGTATGTCCTGTGGTGCCCCCCAAGCTCGTCTGCCCAGCCTGCAAGCTCGACAGCTTCGCCGATTTGGCTCAGCTCCAGTCGCACAGATGTGAGCTCCACTTCCCCTACGTCCCTGTCCGAGCTCCTGTGCGTGATGGCGGCGCCGAAGTGGCGCCTTCCCAGGCGGGCCGCCGGCGGCGAGGCCGCGGGCGCTCCTGCCCTCGGCAAAGCCAAGCCGCCCCCGCCCAGGCAGGGCGGAGGCGCAGCCGCGGGCGCTGGGGGACAGAGCGCTGCCGCAGGCAGCGGTCAGCAGGAGAACGCAGCAGGAGGCAAGAAGAACCGTAACCGCCACCTGGGCAAGGTCAAGGACGTGGGCTTTAACAAGAAGCAAGCGGCCTTCATCAACGTCATGGTCAAGCAGGTGCTGCTCACCACGCAGATGGTGCGGGACCTGTGGGCCGCGGGCGTGGACACGTTCTTCATGGACGCGGACGCGCCAGGGGTGGTCGCAGCCAGCGAGCGCGGGGTGACATATTCACACGAAGTCCGAGCCCGCGGGAAAGGCCACCAGCTCGGTCCACCTCACCTTCATATATTCGATGGGTTTCTCAGCAAGTTGCTCGAGCGTGGAGTCGCGCTGGGACAGCTGACGCACGCGAGGCTCAAGCTCTGGCACGACAAAGCATGGGTGGAGCTGCAGGCCGAGGAGCTGTACGAAATGCTGCGGCTGTTCCGAGTGATGAAGTGCTACGACCAGTCCGAGCGCAAGATACACATCATGCTGAGAGACGTGCCGATGGACCAGCCCTCGCCAGAGTCCGACGAGCAGCCGCTGCCTTCTCCCATACAAGTCCGCGGCCTGCTGCAAAAGGCGCTGGTAGAGGCAGGGGCTCGCAGGGCCTTGGGCGCGGCGCCCCCTGGCGCCATGGAGGAGACCATGCAAAACGCCGTGGACGGCAAGGAGGCTAGTTCGTGATTGATGGCATGTCCTGGCCTTCGCGAGTCAGGCTCACGTCGCGTTTTGCCGTGGCTCGCGGCTCGAACTGGCAAGTCCTGACCTTCGGGCAGGCTCATTCGTCGCGTTTTGCCGTGGTCCGTGCCTCGAATTTCAAATCCTGACCTTCGGGAGTCAGGTTCCGTCGCGTTTTGCTGCAGCTCGGACAATACCTGGGCGTGGGTTTTGTACCTGGTCCTGTTCTCGGGCTGCCACGAGCTCGCTGATTACAATGACTTCGGCCTAGCGCTGCACTCTGACGGGGGCGTCTTCGCGTCCGTAGATGTCTATGAGGCCTCCGACCACGTGTGCGGCGTGTCCGTCTAGGCCGGCTTTTCTTTGTGTCGCAGCGCTCGCTGCGGGGTGTGTCTCTGACTGATCTACCGCCGACCCCGAGGGGCCCCTTCGCTGCCTTGCCGTTGCCCCCGCTCCCCCCGCTCGCCTCGCCTACTGCCTTCCTGGCTCCCCTCGCCCGTCCTCGGCCCCTCGGGTGCTACTTGAACGGCCTTCTTGGCCTTGCTGCCCCTCCTTGCCAAGGGTCACGTTCGCATCCCACTCGTCGGTGGGCACGTCCCTGGGACTCAGTTTCTCGGTCCGTCAGGGCATGCTGGGCCCCGCTCGACTTCGTGACATTATGTTGTCGTTCGGCGGGTGCACTCTCTGAGTTTTAATTCTTCGAGGAGTCAGATCGTAACCTCCCGACTGCCACTCGTCACTACATATTGCACGCTTGCGCGTACGCACCGAGCTCGGCTCGGCTGTGTGTGGACATGAGAGTTGCGGGACCAAAGTCGTGTCTAATCTAACCAATCCTCCTCCCGATCCTCCAACCACCACCCAATACTCCTCTTCCACCCTCCGAACCCTCCTCTACTCCTCCAACGTCTCCTGCTCCTCCTGCTCCTCCTATTCCTGCTCCTCCTCTTCCTCCTCCCTCCTCCTCCTCCCTCCTCCTCCTCCTCCTCCTCCTCCTCCTCCTCCTCCTCCTCCTCCTCCTCCTCCTCCTCCTCCTCCTCACCTCCTCCTCCTCCTCCTCCTCCCTCCTCCTCCTCCTCCTCCTCCTCCTCCTCCTCCTCCTCTCCTCCTCCTCCTCCTCCTCCCTTCATAATAATCATCATCATCATCATCATCATCATCATCATCATCATCATCATCATCATCATCATCATCATCATCATCATCATCATCAACAACAACATCATCATCAGCATCAGCAGCAGCAGCATCATCATCATCAGCATCAGCAGCATCAACATCATCATCATCAACATCATCATCATCAGCATCATCAGCATCATCATAGTCATCAGCATCATCCTCATCGACATCAACATGATCATCATCAGCAGCATCAACATCATCATCAGCATCATTATCAGCCGCATCATCATCGTTATCATCGTCTTCATAATCAGCATCACCAGCAGTAACATCATCAGTAGCAGCATCAGCAACAGCATCATCACCAGCACCCTCGTCATCATACTCATCATTATCATCGTCATCATCAGCATCATCCCTATCATCATCATCATCATCATCAGCAGCAGCAGCAGCATCAACATCATCATCAGCATCATCATCAGCATCAGCATCGTTATCATCGTCCCCATATTCAGCATCACCATCATTAGCATCATCATCAGCGGCAGCATCAGCAACCGCATCATCGTCAGCACCCTCGTCATCATACTCCTCATTAGCATCATCAGCATCATGAGCATCATCATCCCTATCATCATCATCATGATCATCATCATCATCATCATCAGCAGCAGCAGCATCACCATCATCATCAGCAGCACCATCAGCATCACCATAATCAGCATCATCACCATCAGCAGCATCATCAGCATCACCATCGGCATCACGTACATGATCATCATCATCATCATCATCATCATCATCATCATCATCA